GCTTATAAATGATTAGCAAATAAACTACGTAAGCCTGAAACAATACTAAATTTAACTATGCTAATTTTTGAGCAATGAAATTCGCATTAAGTTTGCATAAACAGCCCTTTTATATCGAGATTGAATCGAAAAACACTACGCATCATCATTAAAACATTTTTGCATTTGAGAACCTCATCACACAAAAGAAAAAAAAAAGTTCCAAAACCTAGGTTGGAAATAAAAGCTAATAAATTATATTTTGTAAAGGTTTATGCGTACATTTATTCAGCCTATGAAAAAAAATAATGTTGGTATTATAATTAACCAGTCAACATTATTGTGCCAATCAAAAGAAACCGCAAATTCAACGTTTGCTTAAGACTAATTGCTATATGAGATACTATGAATGAATACATTTATTATAAATAATTTTCAGGAAACTTCAAAAGTTTCCAGTTTAATTTTATTAATGGGGCTCTGTAGAACTCATAATAGTTTGAGATCAATAAATAAACTTTTATGGTACTGTTGCATTAAAAATAACCAGTAACAGCTAGTTAATATTCCCTCATACCAATACTTAATTGAAATTTGTAAGAGAATTGATTTGTTTTTATATAATATATTATTTTTAATTTCAGAATTATTTTCAGGAAACTTCATATGTTTCCATTTTAATTTTATTAATGGGGCTCTGTGGAATTCATAATAGTTTGAGATCAATAAATAAACTTTTATGGTACTGTTGCATTAAAAATAACCAGTAACAGCAAGTTAATATTCGGTCGTACCAATATTTAATTGAAATTTGTAACGGAACTGATTTGTTTTTATAAAATATATTATTTTCAATTTCAGAATTATTTTCAGGAAACTTCGTAAGTTTCTATTTTAAATTTATTAATGGGGCTCTGTAGAACTCATAATAGTTTGAGATCCATAAATAAAACTTTTTTATGGTACTGTTGCATTAAAAATAACCAGTAACAGCTAGTTAATATTTCCTCATGCCAATATTTAATTAAAATTTGTAATAGAATTGATTTGCTCATATAATTGATTTAATCTTATAATTTTAATGTAAGGTCTCCATAATATCAAAACGAAAATAGATTTAAAAAGCTTTTTTCGTGCAAAGGTAATTTAATGGAGGTGTGTAAAGTTGGCAACCACAAGTTTGAATTTCGCTTCCCATTAGCCCATTTTAGGAAATCGTAAGGCAATCAAAAGTTTTTGTTAGCCCAGTCACTAAGAATAGTTACAGCAAAAACAAGGTCTAGTGAATTCCTGACCGGAAAAATCACGAGTTCGAATTTTGACTTCAAGATTTTACCTATTATAGGAATTCATTAGACAATTAAAAAATTTCCTTTAGCCCAAACACCAAAAAAATGCTATGGCCAAGACAAATTTTGGCAAAATCGTGAGCGTAACAATCACAAGTTAGAATTTTCCATTTCATTAAATCGTTAGCCCACTAAAAATTTTCTTTAGCTCACGCACCAAAAAAAAAGTAAAAAATAAAAGTTATGGACATAAGATATTTTGGCAAAATTGCGAAGTTCGCAACCACAAGTTAGAATTTTGCTTTCAAACGTTTGCCCACCAAAAACAGTTACGGCCTAAATAAGTTTTGGCCAATTTTTGACGAACAAACCGTAAGTTCGAAATTTACCACCAAATGTTAGCCCATTGTAGGAAATTGTTAGCCCATGAAAAAATAATTTTGGCCGGAACAGATTTTGGCAAAATTGGGAAGTTGGCCGATAGAGGTTTGAATTTTGCCTCCAAACGTTAGCCCACCCAACAAAAACAGTTACAGCCAAAACAAGTTTTAACCAATTTTTGACAGCAAAAACAAGTTTTAGTCAATATTTTTTTAAATTTTTTATCATTGAACAGCCGACATAATTATGAGTTAACGACTAACAATGTTTAACTCCGTAGCCTTGAAATCTCGAACCCAATCCAGAAGGCAAGGGAACTCCTGGATCAAGCATAGGGAAAAATTTGCCTTCGTGGAGGACGTTTAGATGGAACTAACCCGCATTTGATTTACATGATGAGGAAAACCATGGAAGTCTCTGCTGGTTAGCCTGTCAGCAAGGGGACTCGAACTTATGATCCCTCTACCACTGAGGATATTTTACGACAGCGCTGTGAGGAATTCGCATATACGAGCCATTACTGAGATTCGAACCCAGGTCATCTCGTTGGGAGGCAAGCTCTCTATCCCTTGAACCAGAATGGCTCGATACATGTACAGATATTATCATGTATATGCATGTTGGATCTAATTTATATCACTGGAGATATAAATTTTGAGCCATAAATGGTCGAAATATTTGTAGTTAGTTTTCAAATCTGTAGCATACTTAAAGAATAAAAGTTTTAGAAAGTCAAATTATGGGTGATTAATCCAAAGAAAGAGTCACCCCCCTTTTTTCATAACGTTGGCGTTTACTTTTGTGGCCCTTTTACCTTAAATTTAAAGACTAGAGAAATGGAATACTGAAAGAAATATTTAAACGTTTGTTATCCGTTAGGATAATTGTTCATAATTATACAGTGGCAATGCTAAAAACTTTACAGGGGCAAGTGGGGAACTATAAAAACGTCAAAATACGTGTTTCAACATCTATGTGAAATTTGGGCTAATTTTCTTTCTAGAGAAAATACTAAAGGAAATTTTATACTCTCGATATAACCAAATTTTGATGGTCTTTGGGAGGCTAAATCTTTTAGATATCTAAAACGCTTTATCGACAAACGCAAATTTCATTAAAGAAGAATTGCTCAGTTATCCTAGAAATTGAGATATTCCACCCCTTATATTGGTAATTTTAATAACTTTGCAATCTTGTGATTTTGTAATAGGGAGGTATTTGTCTGAAATTGTTGAACGTCAACTCGAAAACAGGCTTTTTCAATGGCAAAAAATATAGCCAACAAATCTGACCACTATGGAAGAGGGACTATTTAAATAATTTTCGTTTCTAAATGTATGTTTACAAAGATTGTTAAAAATGTTGAGCGTTTGCCAAGTACGAAATGGCTAACGGGGAGAACCGTTGAAATAAATTGTGGTAAAGATGAAAGATCATAAAAGATTAAAGGTAATAAAAAACGAGTTATCAAGTTAAAATGCTGAAACAAAATTTAAGTTATATGTCTTAATAAATATCGATGGTAATTAGATTTTGCAATGCGTGTATATATGCAATTTAATTTTCAGCAACAAGATGATTTCAAGAGAGTTTTTGCAGAAATTGAGTGATTATTATGAAGTAGTTTAGTTTATTGTGTTATGTATGTGCAGGAGCAAACAGTGCACATGTGTAACCAAGGCAACAGAATGTTTATAATTTAAAAACTATGCTTTTAGAATTCTTTTCTTTTTTTAAAATCAATTTCATTATGAGATTTTATGGGTTTACTTTTGAGATGTGACAATGAGAAAAATCTTGAGAAATACTTTTTGAAATGTGAATAAAGAGAATTTCATCTCTTGAAAGATATTTTTATTTGTTTATAAATGAATCGGAATCAAGTCTACAAGTTCGCGGTAAAAACTTTTTTGGAATTTCTGTAGAAATTTTGACTTTTCCAGATACAGTAAGGAACCGATTATCCGGAACGATCGGGATCATCGCTATTCCGGATAACTGATTTTTCCGGTTTTCTGAATCTCTGCAAGAAGCCGTTTTTTTTTTATTGTTAAACCCAACTGAAAAAAAAAATTATTATTTGGAAATAATCTTAAAAAGAAAAAACGATGAAGTAATACACTAATGATTATTTCCAAAATGATGGTAATGTAAACATCTTTCAAAAAANTTGTACTAAAATTTAAAATCCAAAAAAGAAAGAAAAATCCTAAAATCTTATGAGGAAAAAAAAAAAATTTTTTTTTTAAAAATGGCGGAAAATTATCGAATTTTGTTCCGGTTTTCTGATTTCCGGATAACGGGTTCTGTACTGTATATAGTTTTTGTCACTTTTCAAATTTGTTTTGTGCACTTAAATTATTGTACTGCAGAGCATTTCAATTTTTGAGACAGCTTCCATTGGTCTCACTCTTTAAATTCACTTATTTAAACAGTAGAACAAGTTTTTAAGATTAAATATTTCTGTGTCCCTCTTTCAATTTGCTGCACACACTTCTCTTTGGAACTTTTATGAAACTAGTAATGAAAAATAAGCATACCTGTTAAGTGAAATAGTGAGGATGTACATTGATAAAATAGACAAAAATGTTAATTTTTTTTTTTTTGCCCCAGACTTTTAGTGCCACACTTTAATTTTACTTTGTAGACTTTGCTTCTGAACTTTGTTTCTAAGAAATTTGCAAATAAAAAAACCCCCATAATTTGTAGCATAGCAAGCTCTTAAATTCTTGAAATAAATAGTTTCTTTCCATGTTTTTATATAAAATCAAACTTGGCTTCCAAAATGCAAGCGTATATAAATTAATAAAAAAAAATTGAGCGATATTCTGGGGAAAAAGTTAAGATTAATACAAGGGACAATTAATAAAATTATTAAAAATATTTTTCCAGAAAAATCCTTACTTTTTTGAGTTACATTATTTCTGTCTCTTTAAATTTATTTCATACCATTTTCTTCTGAAATATAAATTTGCATGAAATTAGCATGAGAAAATAAGCATCGATTGTTGAAATAGTTTTAACAAACAGTAACATAAATTAAAATTATATGTCAAGAATTTCAACTTTTTTACACTATATTAAATTTTGTTTTAAGGCTGAACTATCCCTAAGCATCCCTAGTAATCCCTAAGCAATTGTATTTATCAATTTCAGTTTCATCCATTTCGTTGTTTCTTCCTCTTACAGTGTTCTGTAAGAAAAAGGTTTCTAAAAGAAAGAAACAGGACAAAATGCGAACCCTAGAAACAAAGAGGGTCTTTGAAAAACCCACTTCATAATACTTTATCTATGAGCAATCACTTTTTAGCTCTTGATAGTTTTAGACAGTAACTTAAAATAAAACAAACATTTCAGAATTACATTAAAATTTTATTGTGCAGTTTACAGTTGTGCACTTCAGTGTGAAAATTCAATATTGGTTAAGATACTTCACTCAAAATTGTGAAACTCATTTACCTATGCACAACAGCATAAAATTGAATGACATATTAAACATTACAAATAATTAAAAACAAAAATAAGTAGATTACACAACTTTTCAAGGGCATTAAGCAATAAGCTAGCTGCTCAGTTATAAAACAAAGTGCAATAAAAAAATACTGTAAATGTAAATAAAAAATTAAACATCAATGACAAATTACTTTATAAATACTTAAACATTAAAAAAAAAGTTCACTTTGAGCAAATTAAATTCATGATCACATGCAATAAAAAAGCTCTTCTAATGGTGTATATAGTTTCCAAATAACGCTGTATATGAGTGTAACAAACACTTACAAGTTCATACAAAGAGTTATGTAAATTGCACATTTTTAGTCACTCAGTAGACAAGCACAAGCAAAATTTTATAGAAATAAAACATTAAAAATTTCAAGGCTAACTAGGTAAGTGTAAAAGTATAAAGAGAACTCACAACATGTATATTTTATTATTAATACACTGGAATGATTCAAACTTGTAAATACTTTTCATTAGAAGAATAATCAATTTATTGAAAAGCTTGCTAACTACTATAAATCAAACTGGCTTTCTTTTAAAAGTAAACAAGTTGTTGAAAAAGGTTGCAAATTAAACTGGCCGAAGTAAATAAATAAAACAAAAAAATCCATTTGCAAACATAACATAGTTCTTAGTGGTCATTTGGATTTGCTTAAATTATGAACTATTTAATGTTAAAAAAAAGTTTATATAATACTTGCTAATAACCTAAAATTAATTAAAATTAAATTTGTCACTATAAGTGCAAAATGCCGCAAACAGTATGATTAGTAACAAATTTTAAAAATACACAACAAAACAAATATTAATTTTACCTTAAAATTTACAAGAATTAAAACCCATAAACCATATTTCTACATAAGATGAGTTTATATACACACTGAAATATCACAGAAGATAGAATTAAAGCTTTAATATTCAGTAAAAAGATAAGCTGAACAGTTAAGTTGAAGCATCTTATTCTTATTTCTATACAAATCCAAAAAACAGAAAAAAATGCACATAGGAATGGTATTAAAATATTTTTTTTCTTTTTTACCAGGTAGCATGAAAGTAATATTTTTAAAATAGCAACAAAAAGGCACAGATAATAAAATCTTAGAGGAAATAGCAAACGCACATGTATTCAAGCATAAAAGTCTACTGGGCAGCAGGAGTTTCTACAGCTTTAGTTTCAGATTCTCCACAAATTAACTTTTCAGGTTTGTCTTCTGGTTCTAACTCTTTCATTTCATCAGTGCCTTTTTCTGTTTCATTTTCTTTTGTTTCCTCAGTTTGATCAGTTTTTTCTTCACCTGAAAAAGAATTGCATCACAAGTTCAACAAAAACCTTATGTATACATGTCAATATCCCAGGAAAAAAAAAACAAAGATTTATATATTCAACAGAGAAATGAAATTTTTAGCCAAAAATTTGAGGCAATAAATTTATTAAATATATATTTTATATTTTGCAAAGAAAAATATAGAATTGACCTTTTATATAATACAAAAATCAAAGCAAAATTAAGTAAAAAAATTGAAAAAACTAGAAATAATTGAGAGCACGCAGCAAGAACAATTAATCCACAGCCCTTTTAGAGAAAACTGATTAATTGATTGAATGTAGAGTTTAATGGCACAGGATCCAAATGTGGACATGCTGCGCCAACCACCCTTTTAGAGAAAAAGGAACTTAAGAAAAATTATTAAATTTCAATCAAAACAAATTATTTTATAAAATTTTTTATGCTATTTACACGAATACAGTAACTTTAAAATAATAAAAGATTATCCAGTAAAAATAGATTACAGCTTCACTAAATTGCAAAAAGAAATGCATGGGAAATAAAAACCTTAGATCACTATTAGTTCAATTGGTCTGAGAATATACTGTATGAAACTGTTCAAATTTGGAATAATTGAATATTAATATCAAAGTTAAGATTTAATTACTACCTACATAAAATTAAAAACAAATATGAAAAATTTACTGTCAAAATTGACTATGACAACTTCAGTTTAATTGATAAAGCAGCTTGTAGCATTTCTTCAACTTTACAAAGCATATTTATGGAAGAACATAAGATAAGCTGCTTTAACAAATTTTTTTCTCCAGCGTCTGACTATCTTTATTAGCAATGTTTTAAAGATTTGTTTGGCTGAGCACTTCACATATTGTAAAGTGCATAACACTAATCATGAAAGGGGTTATTTTACAAATATGCTTAACTTAAGTTGTGAAAATTTCATTGATATTGAATTAAATTATTAAAACAAATTTAAAACAGTTATACTTTTAATGTACATAACCTCAGTTAAATTAGCAAAATAAATAAATTAAAAAAAATAAATAAAATAAATTAGTGAAGGACCATTTAAACCACTTTAAAACATTTAAATTGCCAGCACATAGATTCAATCTTTATCAATTTAAAGTTCGATATAAATATTTCATAAACATACCGAAAATTGCACAATATAAAATTTTCGGCTATTTGACTTTAACAAGAAAGTAGAAATTCTGAAAATATTAAAGAGAAACACGATAAAGAAACAAAATCACAGATTCTTGCCTGGCTATATTGTTAAGCAAGACTGCCTTATAGGAATCTAAATATTGAAGCAATCCTAAAAAGAGTTCAAAGCATTTCTTCAAGCTAAATAACAGTTTAAAAAAAGCTGAAAAATTAAGACTTCCAAAATTTCTAACAATTTTCTGTTCACAGGACAGCTTATTTTTTATCATAAAGCTATTAATACTTATGCTTTTTCTACCTCTTGGAGAGAAATTGCTTAAAAGAACCGCATTAAACAAGTTTGGACTAATTTGCAGCATTTTTTTTTTAAATCTATCTGCAGATGTATAAACAAAGCTATTTTGGAATATTTCATTGCTATATTTCATTACTCTTGCACCAAAGAAACATCTGATCAAAAATTGTACAATTGGCAGACATAGTATTCCATTTTTAATTACTTATAAGACAATTTCATTTCCTAAACAATTTTCAGTGTTTTTAATATTTATTCTATAATTTTTTTTTTTAAATACTTAAAGCAAAATGAAATTTTAAAGATTGATCTCAAATATTACTAATTAAGTAATTCTAACTATTAGGTTACGAACCATGACACAAAAAGGTGCTTTTTCTAAATAAATATGTCTTTTTTTCTGTTAACATATTTGGATTTTTAACCATGAAAACAGTTGAAAGTTGAGGCCCTTTAGACACATTTCAGAACCTTTTTAAACAAATAGGATAAGGAAAATATTAATAAAGCACATATAAAATTTTCAAGATTGGGAAGAGAGAGTTACAGGGTAACAAAAAAGTATAGGGATCACTTTTGTGGCTATCTACCACTAAAGTTTTAAAACCTTTTTACATATATAGCTTACTGATCTAAAGCTCTGCTATTAGACTTTCAATTGCAATACTATTTCATAAAATCACAGAAATGCCTTTGAAGAAATTTGACAAAAAGCTAATTGGTCAAGTACAAGCATTTTTAGCCACACTTCGCTGGAGCCACAGGATTATACAAACCCATTTTAAAAAGAAAGGTATTGCGATTTCACTCAGCCATATCAGTCGCATCAAGAATTCGAAACTCGGATAGATGCAAAATAATGCAAAACCAAGAAAAAGTGGACGGCCAAGCAAATTGAAGAAATCAGATTTGCAGAAGCTTGATAAGATGACATCAAAACCGGATCCACCAACACAGGCGAGCATGGCTAAAGCTCTTAACGTGAGTCAGCAAGTTGTAAGCTATCAACTAAAACAAAAGTTGAAGAAAAAATGCCATAAAAAATCTAAATGTCATCATTTAAGTGAGAGATCGGTGCAGATTAGGAGGCAACGTTCATGACCCCTCTACAAGCTTCTCCGTAAGGACAGATGGTGAAAGTTCCTTACAACTGATGAAGCTTGGATCTATCTATCTGATACCAATGCTAAATCTAAAGTTCAATATCTTAGTCGCGGGCAGAACAGGCGAGACTTGACACCATCAACCACGGTGCCTCATCCCAAAGGCGTAATGGTTTGGATGGGCATATCCAACCATGGTGTGACCAAACCTCGGTTTGTGAAACCTGGGGCCAAAATAAATTCAGAGTATTATATACAGAAGATATTAAAGCCCTTTCTTAAGGATGATTACTGCAGATTGTACCCTAATGGTGATGCTGTGTTCCATCAGGACTCTGCCCCATCACATGCATCTAAGGTCACCCAGAAATTCCTAACAGATCAGCAAGTGCTATTCCTGAGACCAGAACAATGGATTCCAAACAGTCCTGATGCTGCACCATGCGACTATTTCCTATGGGGACATCTGAAAAACAAACTGATTAAGCGAAGAATTTCTACATTGAGAGGCCTTCAAAGAGAAGAGGTTAAGAAAATCCCCCAGGAAATCATTTTGCGTGCTTTAAAATCTTGGCCGAAGCGTTGTGGCAAATCTATTATGCCGGAGGTCGACATATTGAGAGGCATTGCTGAATTTATGTAAAAAATTTTGGAAATATAAACATTCAAAAATGATCCCTATATTTTTTTGTTACCCTGTACACTAGATATTACAAGAAAAGAAACTGTAGAAATACACAATTAGATGCTTAAAGTTGTAGAAAAGGGACAAATTATGAAATATCTTACTTTGTTTATTTGGTTCTGCAACAGAATCTTTCCTATTTTGCTTGTATTTCTTTTGTTTTTTCACGAATCCACCTTCAATTAAACTATAAGCAGTATCAATCAAAGTTTGATTTAATTCAGTTGGAGTAATTCCCAATTCTTCCTTCATCTAGAACAAAGATTGAATTGAAATACTTTTGGTTGAACTGCATCAATTATTAATATGTTCATTAGCATATTTTTCAATAACAGTACACATATTTACAACAAAATTTATTCACTTAAGTGTCAAGCTTCTCAAAGATACTCTTGTGCTATTACTATGGTCTAAAATAAATATATAATGGTGCAACTAAAGAATTTAAATAATTGCAAATATAAAAAATTATCATTAAGATCAACAAGACATTAATTGCTACACTAATAATTATTAGACAATGTAGAAAACTAGCATGAGAAATCATTAGTTGTTTCTCGAATGAACTTATGAAAAATCTAAACTATCGTAACAATATTTCTTGCCTCTTACGAGCTTTATAGTTGGATATTAACTATAAACATAGCAACTCTTGTATTTTGCTTAAAATTTTTAAATTTGTTTTACTGACAGCGCTTTAATAAAAATAAAAAGTGACATAGTTTTGATGCATACAAAGACTTAATGGATCTTAGTGCTATTAATTATCAATTAGCGAAGGAAAATGAAAAATTGTTCATAAATGTTTCAAAGGATCAATGTTATTTTCCTGGGAATGTATTGTGGAGCAATAAATTAATAAAATTATAATAAAAAATTAGTAAGATTATTAGCAAATTAATATTTTTTTACAAAGGATCCATAAAAAGCAGAATCTGGATTTAATATAAAACTGTCAAAATATAGCCTAATTCAAAATAATTTTAGCATTAAATGTCAAAATATAGCCTAATTTAAAGTCAAAATATAGCCTAATTTAATTAGTAATGCATTAAGCAGATACCAGGGACAATGAAAATATAGGTCTAGTGACTAAAAAGACTTGTCTAAAAAGAATGACACTTCATAAAAAATACTCCACAGAACATAAATGCTAAAAATCATAATTGTACTAAGCAATAAATTGGTATGTTAGATATTTACCCTTTTATTGTCAAATCTGAATTCCCTTCCAATTCGTGGCAATATAGACTTAGCAGTTTTGTCGAAAAAGCTATTTAACCAGACAGCAAAGTAAGGAGCAATAGTTGTTGGTACACAGTAACCTATTTTATTAAACAAAGAGAACACTTCAATTTCACACAGTTATTTATTTAAATAGTTAACGTGCTAAGCATAATTAATCATGAACTCAGAGTTTCATCAAATTAAAAATGCATAATGAATAAATTAAATATCCAACAAAGGAAATGATAATTAAATGATGGCTATGTAGAATAAAGTCACAATCCTGAGAAAAGAAAAACAAGGCATAAAACACATTAGCCTGCACACATTTTTTAATCAGCTACAACTGAATAACCAAACAACATTTTTTAACTGTTTGTAGTAAAGTTCTTGATAATATAACTTCCCATGTTTTAGAGGGAAACTATGCCTAAATCAAAAGTAAATGAATGGATGACATTAATCTATTTTAACATTTTTGCTGATTTCAACAATCACCACAAAATGAAGAACAGCAAATAATGTAGAACAAGCTTTAATAGAAAAATCCATGAGTAAGGAATCTTAAAATGAAAAGCATATTCCATCCTCTTCAAATTTCTTGCATTATCACTTCCATGGTATAGTCTATTTAAACTGAAATGTTTGAGAATGTCTAAGTAACTAGGGTTAAAAAGATAATCAAAAATCATGTATCAGAAAAATTCTTTGAAAATCACTTTTAACAAACCCCGAATAAAATACCACCTCCAAGGGCTTTTAAAAAACGTAAATCAAAAATAAGCACCTTTAAGCACTTTGTGTATAAAGCAGTTAAATACTACAATCTGAAAGGAAAGTTGTGCAATGCAGCAAAAATTTCATAAGAAAATTGAAACCAATAGAAAATTTTAATGAGGAAAACAATGACAACTGAAGCTGATGTCCAGCTTCAGTTGTCAATTTATTTTCATTGTTTTGGTCTTTAAAATTTTCATTGAATTAGGGAAGCCATTTGAAAACAGTTAAAAGCTTCAATAACTGCAGGTCAAAATTCTGCTGTATATGTATAGATATATTGCAGTCTTTTGTTAAAAGCAGACTTTCTCCTAACAGATATTACCATTTAATTATAAAATTTCTGATTACACAGGTTTAGAAAGGCAATTCCTCATACTTACTATAAAGCTTTAATTCCATTGAAATAATCGAAATATCTTTAAGCCACACATTCTTATAAGTTATAATTTACCAACTGAAGTTATATTCTGTTGAGCTAGCTACATTAAAAATAATTGTAAGCAAAAGAATCTTTAAATTTCGTCGGCTAAATTTTTAAGTAGGTGAATTAAGTCCAAGTTGTAACAATTTGACCCTATTTATTATTATAACCAACTAGGGATAAAAATCAAAAATCGCGTATCACGGTGCGTAGCCAGATTTTTCAACAAAAAAAAAAGCACTTGTTAAGCAATGAAACACTCCAAGTAAGTTTAAGTACTCCAATCAATAATATATTACCATGAGGCTTAAACTCCTTTGAAAGAACCATAGCTATATCTTTAAGCCACACATTTTGAGTGGTCACAATATGCCTGTGATCAGCTGCATTAGGTAGAGTCATAGCTTTTACATGCGCTAAAGCAACATCTCTTACATCACAAACATCAAAATTTACTTTAGGAATCATTGGCATAGCCCGTTCAAGAAGCTTCTTTATAACCTGAAAAAAAATTTTTTTTTTAAAATTTATCATATAAAACAATCATAAATTTATCATAACTTTTTTTCCTTAAAAAAAGATTAAAAAAACTACCTCTACACTTGTTCCAGGCTCTCCGTTCAAAACAGGCCCCAACACCAATGCTGGATTAATAACAGCCAGTTCAAACTTTTTATCCTCTGAAATAAATTAAATTTGAATGTTCAAACAAACAATAATATGTGGATTATGAATTTGCAACAAAACAATTTTACACAATTTTGAATTCCCATTTTGACGATTCTTAAAGACATCAATATATATTTGTCATTAAATTCATCTAAAACTTAAAGCTTAAGTTTCTTTTTAATATTTAATATTATAATTACATATTTAAAAGAAAAGTTAAATTATCCACATTGCAGGGTTCGTGATTTTTTTGATTTTTTTTAAAAAAAATCAAGAAAATCTGATTATTTTGATTTAAATCGGATTTTTTTGATTTAAATCAGATTTTTTTGATTTTTATTCAAATACACTATAAGAGCTTTAATTTATGATTAAAAAAACTTTTTAAATGTTTAATCAAAATTAAATTAATATTAAAACTATATTATAACAATATTTTAGAAGCTCTAACTTATTAAAATAATTTTTCATTATAATGCATAGCGACCATTTTAATACAAGGCATGATTGAAATTAAAAGACAAGATAAAAAAGATAATTTAAAGAATACTACTTTAACTAGTAACACAAAGTTTCAATTAGCACACCATAAATTTAATTTTAAATTGTGATCTCTTTTTTTTTCTCTTGATTTATAAAATGGCAAAATAAAAGCAGCAGATTGTGTTTATAAATGTTGTCATTCATCAAAAAATAAATATTCAATCTATATATTTTAAATATTCAATCTATATATATATAAAAATCAATTGATTTAAATCAATGATTTTTTTAAAAAATCATTTGATTTAAATCGTGATTTAAATCAAGCTGATTTAAATCAACGAACCCTGCCACATTGTGCTACTTTTGAAGGTAAGGGCATCTAAAAGAGTTTACTATGCTCAGCAAAGTTCAGACCAATGATAATCATAAAAACTGCACATTATTTTTATCAATAATGAAGTTCAATATTACACAATTTATAAATTCTTAAATTTTTCTACTTTTAATACATAACTCACATCTTCAGTTTTATTTCAAAAATAGTATCACTGCATATACTAATTAAAATTAGTATATTATACTTAAGCAAATTTCACAGACAGTGCTCGTGAGTATTCAATTTATATAAATGAGATTTTTTTTAAAGAAAATTAAACTTTGCTTGTAACACTAAGAAATTAAAAACCTTAATTAACCTAATTTAAATTTACTTAGCATCAATATGGTATAAGTGTGCAGTAACTAAACTCAGTGGCGCGACCGCCCATAGAGGGCAAAGGCCTACTGTGCCCATCTCAGTTTTCTTGACCTTGAGCTCTGGAGTGCAAGAGCAGATGTTCCGGTTAGGTGGTCAGCCGAATGCGAAACCCCCAGTGTTTAGCTCCCAAGCATGCTTGATACTCATTTATCGACTCACTGAAGAGATGAAAGGCTGTGTCGACCCTGCCCAGTCCCGAGGATCGAACTAAGGACCTGTGGCACGAGAGAAAGAAGTACAGTACAGAACCCGAATCAGAAAACCAAAAAACTGGAACGAAATTCGATAAATTTTCCCCGCCATTTTTAAAAAAAAATTTTTTTTCCCTCATAGGATTTTTCTTTCTTTTTTGAAAGATGTTTACTACCATCATTTTAGAAATAATCATTACTGTATTACTTCATCGTTTTTTCTTCTTTTTAAGATTATTTCCTAACAATTTTTTTTTTAGTTGGGTTTAACAATAAAAAAATCGGCTCTTTGTAGCGATTCAGAAAACCGGAAAAATCAGTTATCCGGAATAGCGATGGTCCCGTTCGTTCCGGATAATCGGTTCCCTACTGTACTACCACTCAGCCACCGGGCGTCATAAGTGTACAGTATCAGACATATAAAGTATACAAGGTAAAAATCAGATGCAACAAATTTGTATGTTGTTTTCTACACAAGGGGGCATTGCAGTTATTCGCTGATTACATTTTTAAGGCTATTTGGCTAGGTGTGTTTCTACTTTATCACCAAATATCTGCAGCGGATAACTTATTTCCATCGTACTTATGAATTTTATCGGTCCACTATTTATATCTGTGTTTAGAATAAGCTGAATTTTATAAAGAAAACAACTACGTATTGAAATAAATATTAGAAAATCATTGTTGTAAAAAAACTATCATCCGACAATTATTTCTTTGAAATTTAATTCATACTCAACTATTTTGCTAAAATCATGTCAAACCTAACTAATTAATAATAAAGACAGCTAATTAGAAAAAGGAACTTTTCCTACCTTAATGAGAATGGAATATCAAACCAAAGTTTGCGGGGTTTCTACTATATGAACAAATTAAAAGAAGCCAAATGAGTGATTTATTTCCAAATAAAGAAACGCTTTCTTCAATGATGCATTTAATATAAAAAAAAAGACCTTCGTTTCATATTCAATAGAATTGTTCAATAAAATTAATATCTCTGGAAATGCAGATTTGAGTTCATATAATGCATTTTTATGTTGTATGCTACAAACAAAATGAGCTATTTGATAAGATCACCTCACACACTGATGACTGGAAATTAACCTTTTAACTAGAAAAAGATTAGATGAAAGTTTTTGTTCCTGAGAACATATCACTGACAATAAAAATAGTATTAAGTATACAAGATAAAAATAAGACATATCAAATTTATATACGCATGAAATTTTTTAAACATTTAAACACTTTAGGCACTTATTACTAGGGCAAAAATAAAAATATCAATTTGAAATATATTACCGGGCAGTTCTTTAACAAAATCCCAAGCAAATCGCTCAGCGAGAGTTTTACTTTTTGAATAAGTATCAAGCGAAATAGATTCTGTATTTGTCCAATCACCTTCATTGTATACTTTGCCTTCTTCCATTATCATTTCCCCTAAGGTATATTAAGTAATAAATTAGTCCAAAAATATTAAAAATAAATTTAAAAATGTAAGTAATGCTTAAAAATAAAACATACCATGAACAGAAGCAACAGAGCTAGTGAGTACAACTCTTTTTACTGTCCCAGCATCAGCACATGCTTGTAGAACTACTTTAGTACCTTCTACAGCTGGTTTAATAACTTCATCAGGGTTTGCTGGTGATGCGTTTGGGAAAGGTGATGCAGTGTGAATAACGTAAGTACAATCTTTGACAGCCCTAGATAAATAAAACTTTGTCTCAAATCAAAGGTTGAATTTATGATGTCAATAAATAGTTTTTGACATAACACATCAAAAATCAGTCAAAAACCTGAGGCAAGTTTCTTCTTTGCCTTTAGGAACATTTTATCAGAAATTAAATTATGCACAATACTTGCATTATAATTACTACTACAATAGGGACGCCAACTGCTCTGCTTTCCACAAATGATTTTCTGTAGTGGTAGAGAACAAAAATTAAAACTTGGAAATTTTTGCTCAATTTTGATAATACCTTAAAATCTTTACCACAAAATAACACACTAACTTTCAATTCATTTGAATTATTTTTACGTAATTCTGGGCAAAATTATTTTGATTTAAAGTTGCATAACTGAAAATATTATATTAAATCATAAATTTAGCTACCAGTTTGAGTTTAGTTAGTTTGAATCTCTTCAATTATAATTTATATTACATATCTATAAAAAATATCGTCAAAATTATTGTAACTATTAAGTGGTTTTTCTAAAAACGTTTCACTATTAATACTTTTTGATCCATATTATTTACTATATTATTACAACTATTTACTTAATATTACAATTTAATGAGGAAGTTGTTAATTATTATTAATCTAAACATTGATTTTAGTTCCTTTATGCCACTATTTAGACAGATTTTTTAGCTTAAGTAAAACCCCTGAGACAGAATTTTTTCGAGCTATCTGCGACAAAACTCTCTAGCACTACTATCTTTCTGCAAGATACTTTTAATAATAACAAACAGATGTGTAACTAATTTAAAATAACAAAAGTGCTGTGCTTATAAAAAAACTATACAATTTTTTAAATTAAACATGTAACAATTTTTTATTACAATATTATGGGTGATATTTCTCATTTTGTTAGGGGGGGGGAACACACTAATTATTTCCTTCTTTGCATTTTGTAAATAATCATCACAATAAAAAAAAATAATTAAAAATAATGAAATCTGTAGTAGTAATTGCCGAATAAAAGATTGACCATGAAATCACTCGAATCTGCTTCCTCTAAAAGGTGTAACTTAATTGCATGTTTCATTTCGAGATTAGGCTGTTGTAATAAATAATATCGTATGAAAAAGATCGGATTTCAAAACTATAGAGAAATCAATAGCAATAACAGCAGAAAAATAGACAGAATCATTACCTTAAAAAGTAAATACTCAAATGCACGATTAAAATTTTCCATATTGTTTGAAATATATCGGGATATTTAAAAACACGATTCAAATTTTACGTGTAACTTTCTGTAGAAAAGAAAACTAAAATATTTTACTTTTCAAAAGAAAAATCTTTCTGCAAGAACTCTAATGTTCTGCGTCAATATCGCCGTGCTTCTGCCATGGGGAGTAAAAGTAAAGTGGTTGGAAGGACTAGAGTGGTAAAAAGGAACTGAAAAACTTACTCTTTCCATGTTTCTTCTTTTAATAAATCTGCTTCTACCAGTTCAAGAGGAAAACGAGCTTCAGGGCTCAGTTCTTTTAAAGGTTTGATCTTTTTTTCATTATTCAAATCTCGAACAGTTCCTCTAACTTTATGGCCTTCATCTAACAGTAGTTTGATGATGTATGAAGCAACATATCCAGAAGCACCAGTTACAAGTACAACTAGAAATAAAAAAAAGCAGATGTCAAAACCCTGAAAATTTTATAAGCAAAAAATCTACATCAATTTATATATCATACATGTTTAATATTTAACATAACTTTTTAAACCAACATTTATAATTAAATTACTTACTAATGCAGGATATCACACTTTTAGAGCAACTAATTCAAGAAAAAACATAATTCTTACAAGAATCGCAATATTCGATTTTAAAATCGCTTGAATATGAATGGTGATATTGGATTTCAAAAAAGCGAAAATACAATTACAATAATGAATTTTTAATATGAATACGCAAATATGAATCACAGTGGATAATTATTAGATTGCGTGAATGTGAATCTCAATGCATATTTTTTAAATCATCTATAAATGCAAAAATTGATGCTTGACATTACAAACACGTGAATACGAATTGCGGGATTGGATTTTAAACTAGTGTAAACACGAATCGCGATGTTGGATTTAAAAACGTAAATACAAATCGTGATATTGGATTTTTAAATCACGTGAATAGGAATTGAGATGTATGATTTTTAAAACAAGTTAATACAAATAGTGGAATTCTGTGATATTCGCGTAACCTGCTTTAAGTATTTAGACCCAAAAGAATGTTGCAAAAAACGCGGAATACAATCACCACTGTCTGGACACGGCTCAAAATGTGTTTTAAAAAAGTGGGCACAGCTAGAAATGCATGCTTAACCAGGGTTGGGTTTTTGACGTCAAAAAGAGGTTTTTGACATGACAAGGGTATAATACTGGTTTAAACCGTCAAAAATGTCAAAAACTAAAGTTTGCCAAAAAAATATATAAACTTCAAAACTACCAACAGTTGCCATGCATTATATTGAAATTTAATTATACTATAGGTAATCAGCAGGTTTTAAAATATTTTTTAATTAAAATTAAGGTAAAATAACAGATTTAAAATCTCAGAAATTTATATTCAAATGCATGTGCAGAAAAATTTTGCACAAAAATTGTTTAAATATTTATATTTAAAAAAATTTTTTTTTTCTTTTTGATACTTAAGAAAATTAAAAGTTTATTACTATGCATTTTTGACATATAAGGAACATATAACTAATATTTATAAGGAACTTACAAGTTATGTTGTATAAATACAAACTTGATATAAGATACAAGTGTATAAAATTTTTTTTTTAATGTTATACCGAATATCTTTATTATCCAGTATGTTAATTTGAATTTAAAAGTAGTTATATTTATGAATAATGATAAATATAATTCATATTGTTTATTATATTTATTTATAATTATTACACTTATCATTTTAAAACAATTTTTATCTCTTAATTTTTTTTTCTCCACTTGTATTAAGAATACAAATAATGCATATCTTGAAAGCAAGAAGTAATTATTCAACAGCTGAATATTTAGATATTCAACAAAACTATATAGTATTCAGCAAAATGAAATTCACAAGTATTTGGATAAACTAAATTTTCAGCATAGTAAATGAATAGGCTGAATATACTGTAAATCGACACTAACTACTCTGTGTATTTAACAGAAAGCACTTAAATTTGTATTGTCTTATGTTAAAAAGATTATTAAGAAGATTTAAAAGAATATTAAAAAGATTTTTCTTTAAAAGATGTCTAATGTACAAAACTGCTAATGTTTATCTTTAAAAATGTCTAATTTTTAGTATAATCTATACTATACACTAAATTTGGTTATAAATAAATTTCTTAATAATATCACTGCAGATTTTCAATAACACATGAAAATGAATACATAATATTACAAAAGATGTGAGCTTTCAAAAGTACAAGATTTTGGTTACTATTCAAAATATAAGTGTTTCTTCAAAATTTTAAATTTATTTTTTCTAGAACATATTTAGAAACACTATCCTTTATAAAAAATATATAAATTTTATGTATTAATTAAATTTCACATATGAATATAGGTTTTTGACATTTTCCCCAGTGAGGTTTTTGACGTGACGGTTTAAACCATGGTTTAAACTGCCAAAAACTGTCACATGTCAAAAACCTGCCAACCCTGTGCTTAACAAAAAGAGCATAGATTTTTAAGAAAATGTACATAGCATTTGATTCAATATTTTAAACATTTCTTCTGAAAATTTGTCTTTAAGAGAGAAAAAACTATTGAATCTAAATATATTCTTTATGAGATGGCCTCCATTTGCTTAAATCAAAGTATACTTTCAAATTAGTCTTTTAAAAAGGAGTTTGGCCCCTTAATGTCAATTTCTTTTTCTGCATATTTTGCCATAGCTGGGAAAATTTTAAGCAAATATAATTTTTGTACACAATTATAAAAATCCACTCAGAAAATCTCAAAAAACTTAATGAAATTACCAATATTATTAAACCATTATTTAAACTAGTTTGCAATAATAAAATATTTAAATAATTCAGTTAATATTTGACATTTCTCTTATAAAAAGAGTTTCTACCACTTTGGGTAGAAGAAAAATATCTTTAGGTGTATTTTTTTTTTAAATTGTGGTTTGCCATCCTTGTTTGAAATTAACAAATACTTTATAGTATTAATACTTTCTTGGAATTTGATGGAAATTTTATTTGAGTATAAGTGTATTAGTTGAAGTCTTAACATTTCAACTACTAACTCCACAAGCTCTGTCTGAAACTAAGACTATATATATAGATACATATAAATTGGGAAAGACTATGCCTATACAGAAAAAAATGCAGAACATATGACCTGGAGTTAAATAAAATTTGATAGACAAAACATGCTTATCATTACTGTTAAAAATTTTGTTTCATTAAAAAAATTTTATTACTCCTATCAATGCAAATCTATTAAGCAGGTAATTTTTCATACTTTCACATGCTCATTTCAATTCAAGAAAAAAAAATATATATCCTCTTACTTTGAAAAAATTAATGTAAAAAAAGAAGATATTACAAATTTTATTTCAAATATAATTTCAAGACAGATTTGTATACTAATAAAACCTGGGTTCACCATCTACACAAGTTCACACAAAATACCAGAGTAGGATTTTCTTTCAATTCAAGACATTGGTGATTTAAAACATTTGCATTGGTAAATTTCTCGTATTAATTAAAAGTTTGTCAAAAATTGAGAATTCAGACAATTAACTGCCATTGCAAAATATTTTATAGAGCAGTAGACCAGTGTTTCCCAAAGTGTGGTATGCGTACCCTGGGTACAGGAACAGTTTAGTGGGGGTACCTATTCTTATGCGAAATATCTTGCAACAAACGAAGATTTCAAAACATTTTATTTAAAAACAAAGCTAGCCATGGAAATTTACTATTACGTATTTTTCTATTGGCTATTTTTTGCAGAGTTAACAGTTAATAATTAGTGGTGTCAACAGCCAGTTGTGGTTTTAAACTTTTGCGCAAATTTTTTTTTAAAGTAAAAAATGCATTCATTTTTTTTATTAGTGGTACACAGCGCTACAAAAAATTTAGAAAGCATACACAAAAGTCATAAGTTTGGGAAACACTGCAGTAGACTATTAAAAACCAAAGCTTCCAAAAATTTTGCCAACCTTTTAAAAGCCTCACTATGAGAAAGTTGGAACAAAGTGGCAGTTTAATGAACTTTTGAATCATTTACACGTAGTGGTGTGGAAAGCAAAGACATTTTTTTAGAATGATATGAACAAAGATTTACTGGGCTAAAATAAAAGTTTTTTTTTTCAAACACTGAACTTGTTTTTTTTTTTTTTTTTTTGAAGAAGCATATGATTAAATAAGAAATGTGAGGAAATTATTAACAGGGGTCTGTCCAGACATTTTGTGATGGGTCTGGTTTTTGGGAAATTGTGAAAAAATTACTCACATTCTTTCAACCAGGGTCCTGCTTTTATGAATTTGTGCAAATAGGGTTATTGCAAAAACCTTTTCAAGGAGTTTTTAAATTGTAAATAAATACAAGATTATGCTCAGTACTGCAAAATTATAATTAAAAAAAAATTAAATTTTCAAAAATAAACAGCAATTGTCGCTTCTAAATTAGAGATGCAACATACAAATATTTGGTATTTAGCCAATACTGCCGAACACAGAATATTCATTTCGGACGAATAATGGAAGAATCGTCTGACAAAGTTTAGTTCGAAGACAAAACTTAATTTGTTTACATCCATCTTTCTTGTTTTCTGCCCTGGGAAGGGTTTATTCAATTAACAAAACAATAATGAGAAACAAATTTGTGAAGGGTCCATTTTTATGAAAAGATATTTTGTGAAGGGTCCGTTAACGGACTAAAATTTCTTATAAACAGACCCCTGATTAAACAATACGGCGTTTTCCTCCCCTTTCTAAACAAAATTTGATCTATATATATTAGATATTTTTTTTTTTACCTTAAATTTGTAAATATTCTTAATATTTTTTGAAACTTTAACCAATTAAAATAAAATATTCATCCAATAGTTTCTTTTCAAAACAAATGATTAAAAAAATTAAACATTCAGAAGTCATGTTTTTCTACTTAGCTAGTTTATCAATAGGTGTTCAATGCAGAAAAAATATAAGATCAACAATGAGAAAACTGATAAAAATATCTAGTTTCTAACACTCAGAAAATTTAGGAAAGATGAGGTATCTTGTTTCTATCGATAAATAAATCAAGGTGTCCTATTTTAAATGTTTATTAATTTGATAACAGAGCTTCTCAATTATCAGGGATGAGATTGGCCCAAAAGGCAAAAATGCTGAATTCTAAGGAGGGTAAATCTTACGTGATTTATAGCAAAAATATCAGTAACATTCTCATCCAGTTTCGCTGATATTGTAGTGCCGATATATACCAATAATCGTTGATAGAAAAACTGTCACCTTTATAGTAATTAATTCCAGAAAAAAGTTTCTTACTAGAATCGCGATAAAGGATTTCTGAATCTTGAAATCACGTGAATATGAAACTCGATATTGGATTTCAAAAATTTAAAAATACAAATCACGATGCATAGTTTCGAAATCGCGTGAATACGAATCCA